CCAGCTGTAGGCTTATGTAGGTGGCCATGTAGAAGGTGAGAGGGAGTGATGTAAATTTAGGTTTAGGAGGCACTTGTCCCGTCTTTAAACATTGCCTAGTCCTGGCATTTTGCGGACCCATGTTGGGGGTAGAGTTAGGAGAAAGAGAGTCTGACAAGAGCGGGAGCAGGAGGGAGCCTCTCTGGCTTCACATGTTGGCTTTTGGTTGGAAAAATTGGAAGCCAGAGTTCCTTGGCTTGTTACAGGAAAATATTATGATAATCAGAACATTTTTAAAAGCCAAAATGCGTTCTAATGGCCCTTCTGAGAGATTCAGGAGCAGAGTTATGTTCTACGAGTGAGATGGGGAATATTGTTTTTTTTTAATAAAAATGAGAGGATCCTTAAAAGGCAACCCTGACATGTGTTCCGAAAGGCAGCAGTACCCTGCTTTTCTTCTGAGTCTCTTTTTACTTTCATTTCTTACCTCAGGACTTTTTCTCATTAGCACCTTCACTAGACTTGGAGCTGGAGAAGAAAAAGGAAGTGTTCAGACATGTGTCTATTTGCATAACTACTTCACTGAGTTAACGCCAGGATGGCACAAACATTCCATGCAAGTCCACGGAAAAGCCACTTTTAACCATCATGATGGTGTTATTTTCTTTTTTAGTATAGAACGTTTTATTGCCAGGCTTCTCTTAACTGTACATTATAAATAGTGTCTGATTAAGAATGTTCTGGATAGGTTAATTAGTGTGGTGACTATTATTAAGCAAACTGCTTGTTAGTATTATGCCTATTTGATCTTGGTATTGATGTGAAGTAATTGACCATAGAGCTACATTTAGAAAAGCTGAAATAAACTTTTTTTTTCCTATTGTGGCAATAAATTGTTTATATTAAACATGTCTATGAAAATGTGAGTTTCATGGAACAGATAATCAGACTAGACTCTGTGTAGGATAGTGGATGAGGTTTGTTTGGTTTTGTTTTGTTTTTAGAATATTTACGTATTTTTCCAAGCTTCTAGAAATCAGCTCTGTTGAAACAAAGTAGTAAGACATTTTTCACTCTTGCCTTTGTTATTGTTGCAGAGGGTGTGAACTCAGTGTTTTAGATCCCCCTTCCCCACTAAAGGAAGTATCCTGTTAGATTCAGCTAATTGCCTAAATACTTCTTTTGGTGGCAATCACTATAATAAATAGACTATTAAAAATGTGAAAAGATATTACAGAAAAGGAAAACATAGCTTATAACCACCTTCCTTCAAGTACTCAATTGTTATCTAAATTATTTATTGGTATTTTGTCCAGTTTTGTTATTAAGTTTCCCTAGCTGTCACATTTCCATGGGGAATTTATTCCATGAGCTAATAAATTATACCATCAGGGACTTTTTCTTGAAATTCAGCTTAAATTTTCCCATTCTTAATTTCATCTCATTACTCCTAGTTATACCCCCTTGTACTAGGCTAAATAATTATTCTTTTTCCTTGGAGATTCCTATTATGTACCCCTCTAGTTGTCACTTCACTAGGCTATTCATATGTAGCTCCTTTAATCTATCCTCCTAAATCAATTCTTCCATTGCCTTAATCATTATTATTGCTCTTTTAAGAACTCTAATTTTCAAGCATATACAGTTCCAGGGTGCCCCTGATGAAATCAGCATTCATACAGTGTTTTATTCGACAGACCTGTTTTCTTCCCTCCCTTTACAATAGGATTCCAAACTAAGTGACATCAGTTTTCTGGGTCACTTCAGCACTTGTTCATCTTGTCAAACTCAGGATTATTTTTCACTGTTTCCAACTTGCATACAAGGTGTATTCTGATTTGTTTTTCGATTTTGTGGGATTTATAAGCTTTTTTTGTTCCTGTCCTGTTAATATTCTGCATCTTTCCATGTTCATGGGTGGTATTCACTACTACCCATCAAATCAGTCATCCACAACCTGTGTTAACATGAGAATTTAGTCTTCTCCGAGAACACTTATGAAATGTGTTGAATAAAAGCAGACTTAGTACCTTGCTCAGAGTTAAATTCCTTGTCAGTTACCAATTTCTATTGTTTAAGTCCTTTAGCCAATCCCCTGACTCTTGTAATTTATGGTTTTGTTCACATGCTGGCCAATATTAATGGATTTTATGAGTAAGATGGGTCATGAGATTGTTTTCTAAAATGAAGATATGTTATTTCAGTGCCCCTTGATGTTTTTTGTTGTTGGTTTTTTTTTTTTTTTTGTCTTGTTTTGTTTTTATTGTGAATCCTTTTTGTGCTGAGTGTAATTTTGTTAAAATCCTTTTTAAGCTTGGTTGGCATTCTTTATCTGACATTAACAAATGGGTTATTTGTTTACTTCATTGTTGTTTTTCTAGATATGTACAAATGTTCCTTCTCTTACCACTTGTTCTGTTGGGAAGAAGCTGAAGATGTTAGCATAGTCATTTTCTTTTTTACCTATTGTGGTGATAAATTAAAACTTAAAACTTTAATTTTCTTGAGACTGGATTTTCCAGGCTATCCTAGACCTCTCTATGTAACCTAGGCTGGCCTTGAACTCAGCACAGGACTACTTTCTCAGCCTCCCCAGTGTTGAAATTACAAGCATGTACCACAAAGACCAGCTTTTTTTTTATTTTGAGGCAGACTCTTGCCAAGTTGCTGAGGTAAAGTTCAAACTTTTAATCCTCCAAAGACAGCCTCCAAAATACGATTACAGGAGTGCATAAAACTTTTATTTTAGCACTTTAGAATCCTTTTAGTATTTTCAGTTTGTTTTAGGAAGAAAGCTTGTTTGTGCTCTTAATAATTTTAGACCCATTAGATCTGTAGATATAATCTGTAGTCATGTTTCTTCCTATTCTAAATCAATGACTAATTTATTATTTTATTACATCATATTTAAAGAGTAATACCATTCTTTGTATTTTATCTGTCTCTATGCAATCATTTATGTATTGCTTAGATGGCTCGTACATTTAGTTGACTTTTCTCCTGCTACTTAAAATCAGAATAGTCATTTAAAGAGCTTTCTGAGACAAGCATAGAAGCCCCTGAATCAAGCTTTCTGATCCTGGAGTGTGCAAGGCATGATACATACAACTAAAGGCCTTGTTTCCAGCTCACATGGGTTCCCCACTGTCTGCTCCTGTTGCTTATCAGCCCTATTCAATGCCCCCTGGCTGTGAACACAGTGACTCTAGTCCTGTAACTGACTTCTTAAACTCTATATCCCCTACTTCTCACCTCACTTGAAATAGAAATCTGCCCTAACATGTTAGTGACACAACTCCTTAGATGCCACATCTGCCACCCAAATTTTTTCTGGCTTTTATTTCTCCCTCCTCACTTCAGCTTTACAAAAAAAATATATACTTTTCTCTTTCATTAGACCCCCACCTATGGACACTCACGTACCCAAGCATTCTGCTATTAATAACAGATGTTACTTTTTTTCTCATTCGCATTTTTCAAGGGTTTTTTTTGTAGGATTCTGTTTCCTTTTTTTAACTAGTGTCCCCCAACTGAGTATGCCTTTATCATTATGCCCTGTTTTGCAGAACTCAACCTTATTTATTCACCTTTCTTCCTTCTTTCTTCTATTCTCTCTTTCATACATGAACCCAAGCCTTCTTCAAGATTTCTACCCGTGCTACTATACAAGGACTTGTGGGACTCAATAGGAGTACCAATGACCTAGAACAGGACTGTTTGCTATAGCACCATGCAGTGTTTTATATTTTTACAGTCTTTGAGGGCTCTTGATTCATTTTCATAGTGTTTTGATTATTCTCTCAAATTATCTTTCTACTCTTCCAATTATTACTTTCTTTCTCCTTCATGGTTTCTCCTTCCTGTTTGGCCCCAAATACATGTATTCTCCATTTTTTACTTACAAATTCAGAAAAAAGTGAAAATCCCTAAAGGAGGCTTAGGAACTCCAAGGTAGCACTTGGTTATGTGGCCCAATCTACCGTTCCAGACTTCCATGTCAGCCTCTTTGGAGTACGTGTTATTTCCAGAACAGTTCATGTTGCTGCATACCCCTTTCCTTTGAGCCCACTGTTCCTTGAATGCACACCTTTCCCAACTTGCAAAGTCCTTGCATTAACCTCTCTCTAGATTTCACTGATTCCCTAGATTGTATTTATTTCTTCTTCACTTGAGTTGGAAAAGTTCCAGTGTCCATACTTTAGATATAGTATGTTCGAACATAGGTTAGTTAGCTGTTCACACATCTTACACTGTGTTCCAGGCACTTAGTTTTCTCCCCAATGGATGGAAAGCTCTGTGAGAGATACTGTTTATATGTGCAGCTAACAATTTTTAGCTACATTTGAATTTTTAAAGATTTTATTTGTATGCTCTATGAATAAGCAATGGACCCACAATGGCTATCAATAAGAAACAGATATTGAGCACATATCAAAGCACTGATATGCCCCATAACAAAGCATGATGGGAAGTGGGGCAGAAATTATAATGCATGTATTTCAGAAAGACATTAGAATATATTTCAAAAAAGCATTAGCAAGATCATTTTGACCAAAAGTATGCACAGGTGTCCAGGAATGCAAAATAGAGTTGTGAGAAATGGTAGGAATTAGCCTAGGAAATATTAAACATTTTTATAGGATTATGAACATGTGACTTGAAAATAAGAACTGGACCATGAGATAATTAGAAAACAAAATGAAAATTTAGAAAGTGGAGGAAGTGGAAGAAGAACGATAAATTATCTCAGGAGTCTTATGTTTAATTGTACTGCTGCACTATGGGTTTTATGTCCACTGAAATTCTTTGGAAACCATTCCAAGACAGTCTTGTCTAATTTGAAACCTTTGAACCATCTCTCAGTAACTAATACCTGTTGAACCTTTTCTAAAATTTTTGTTAGGACATCTTCATATTTTTTTCTCAGCTTTAGGCACAGTTATCATGTCCTTATAGAAAGGTAAGGGTAATTTTGCATATTTTTTTCACTAAAAGCATATTGCATTCCCTTTTTGTAACAGATTCATGCCTGAGCACAAAATAACCCATTTAAAGAAGATGCTCAGCCTTAAAGGAAATGGCAGTCCTGCTCTATCCATGGCCCTTCCTTCGCAACCAGAGCAGAGAACTCCTGAGGATTTATTGGAGAATTTTAATATAGTGTACAATGTACACTCTGATCTTCATACTGCACAAGAAAACCTGGATAACTCATCAATTCAAGGATCAGACTTGAAACATACAAACTCATCAGATAATTCAAGATTTCTTCATGGAGAAAATACACATCTGACTCTTAGTTCCTTTGACAGTTTGGGTGGAGTCGATGATCAGCAAAGACCGTTGCACATTGTCTGGCCTCACAGGTG